TAAATATCGTTTAGAGCGCTTCACGACAATATTATTATATTTTTATATTTATACATTTATACATACTTTTATCAACTACCTACCTGGAAAATTTATATTTATTCATTCGTTTAATACGAGGCAATTATGTAATTATGTATTTATGTAGCCATGTAGGTACCTACTACCAAGCTATAATAATTTATACAACCATAAGTAATAGTGAATAAGTGTGATATAGCGAAATACGGGTTTTGTATAATGTCAAAAAAATGTCGTAATTATCGAATTGACAGTTTATAAGTGGACTGTCGCCGTAGGTAGTATCTACTCTCTGCTGTAAAATAATGTATATTGATTCGAAAAATAAATTAACATGCATAATCTATTGATGGGTAGCTCAGAGAAGGAATTGAATAAATCAATTATTATTATACAGGTAAACGAGTCGGATAAAAAGAAATCAATAAACATTTTTTTTTGTTTATATAACTATGTTTAGGTATAATGTTTTTTATACCAATTTAATTAAATTTGGTATAATTTATAAGCATTTAATTAATCATCCAGAAATTGTAATTGTATGAAATATGTACTGAATACTTAAAAGATCCTGCTGACTATTTTAAATTCCGATTGATTATTTAATTAAATATTTACTCTTCAGAAATAAACAATGGTTCTTAATTTTGAAGGAGTAAGTACACAGGGCCTCTATCAGGTGTATTAATATTTGAACACTTAATAATATACATAATTGGCCAAAAATCAAGTACATTATAAATAAATGTTCTATCATTATCTTTAGGTACCGAAAATATTTTCGACTAATGGATGGATCTTATGGACTTCAATCATTTCCATAATCCAGTTGCTTAAACTAGTTCAATTATTTTATTTGTGGTTTCATCATCTTTGCTGAAATTAAAAACTTTTAATGTTAAGAATATTTCTTGTCTAACAGCTACCCAAGGTCCAGTGGATGATCAAGGGTTAAATTGTGGGGATGGGTGGGCCTAAAAAATTAGGTACTTCTAAGCCACATAAACGTTATAATGTTCTAGTTTATGTACAGTAGAAGCCGCTTATTAGAAACACGGATAACTGATACAATCGCGTTATTGAAACAAAATGAACAAGGACAAACCGGCCGTATATTAGAACATTGAAAATAAATAGGATTATTGAAACATCAAATCGGTTATTTGAAACAATTGGGAGGTCAGTTGACATATTCACCATTTATCCGTGCGATAACCAATGTAATTTAATCTTATCTTTGCTGTCGTTACTTTTATATTTGGACTATACTTTATCTTAAGTGCAGTACGTTCTCTACGATGTATAAGAATGCTCTTTCCAAGTTCTAAACAGAAGTACGAGTTATTCAGGCCCGTAGCCAGACCAAATGTTCAGGAGGGGCAAAGCAAATTTTTTTTTTTTGGGGGGGGGCAAATTTTATTATTTATATATAAATGTATTAAATATTAATGCAATTTTTAATTTATTTACATTGACGATTGACATCTCATATTAACACTAACAGTTCTACGAAGTTAATTTTAATTTATTTTTAGACTGGATGGGGAAATAAACCTATACCTAATTAATTTTAATATGCTCATTATGATATTATGATTTATGGCTAGTAGAGAACGATGTATAGTGCATGCCCGCATGCAGGTTCTCGTAATACCGTCGTTGGCAATAATAACAAGAAATATATTTATCTAATTTTATAAATAATTTATATTATATTAGAATTTTAATATCATCGGTTTTATAATTTTGTAGGGGCTC